CACTCCACCGTCACTTATGGTACCCCTTTGGCTGCGACACTCCCCAGCGATAACTCTTCAATCCACCTCACTGCGTCGCTCCCCACCAGTATCGCTCCGACATCACCCACAGAGAAGCAGGACAGTCCCACTCCGAACTTCAACCCCATTCAGCAGACAACAGAGCTGAATCCCAACTTCAGTAACCCTTCTACTGCATCACCTAATTCAAAAGATGCCAGTGAAGGTAAGTACCTGACTAAAGGCCAGCCGGTTTAATAAAATCGTACTGCTGAAGTAAAAACTTTCTCTCATTGAACAGAAGGTTCTACAAGATATGTGAATTAACAGGTGACCTAGTACAGACTAAAACTGAAACTCCCCCATATATAATTTTTATAATATAATTATATTTTATTAATTATTTTCTGTTTACTTAACACACCCAAAAGTTAGAGAACCCAATAACAGGTGCTGCCCATTCACACTGCCATGGGCCTTCAAAGCAGATGTGTAGAAATAAATTTTAAAATATGTAACATGTCAACTTTTTTAAGTTCAGAAACTTCTGTGACCAAAGATGACTTCTTCTAAATACCTCCAAAGGAATTACTCATCGTACATTTAATTATCAAGTTGAGTATGCGTGGGAAAACAATGGAGCAGAAAACTGTCATGGCACTTTTCTATCCTGCTGCTCTGAATCAGGTCTTCAGGAAAAGAAAAGGAAAGATTAGAAGACACAGTAATTTTTTGCCGTTAATTAGCTTTCAAGCTTTTAACACAGGACTGAAAGGCTTATCCATCATATCCAGTAGAGTACAGTTCGTACTAAGAACTGAAGGAGCATCAGACTTTCATGTTTCCCATCATAGTTCTAATAATTACCCAAGTGTTAGACAACATGACTACCAAGTTCAGTTCCAAGAAAAACAGAACACCTTGAAGAAAAGTTTCATGAAACCTGAGGAAAATTCCCTTGAAAGCCAAGGAGGGAGATGCCTGATTTCTTCTACAAAGGCAGAGAGTTTCTGCAGAGACGCTGGCTTTGTCATTGTCTGCGTTTCAGATGCTTGGTGAAAAGTCTCACTCCACAAAGCCCTCGATTGCCCTAAAGCCAAAGTGAAGCATCTGATCTTACAGATTTATCATTCTCACTCAACTGTCCTTTCTTTCTTTCTCTCTCTCCTAGACGAAACCAGCCAAGCAGGAGTAATAGTTGGTGTCATTGTAGGAGCCATTTTGGCATCTATATTAATTGGTCTGATTGGATATTTCATATGTGGTAAGCAAAGGTCCGAGTCATTTTCCCACAGACGGCTTTCTGATGATACAAGGAATGACCCAGGTAAGGAGTAGCACTAGAAGATTTTTTATTTCTGCACATTGCTGCTTAAACAGCATGGTCTTTTTGAATTATACCATCGACTCCGGTCAAACTAGTTTTCAGCTGACAATACCTTGTTCTTTTTATATTTTAGCTTAACCAATATGCTCCTTAACTCTATGTCTCCTCCTTACAAGTTACTTTTTTAAACTCTGAAACATCAGTAAATATCGTATCTAGTACCAGTGAACCTGTTCAGAGAATTGCGTGTGAGTTCAAAACTGTATCTCAAAAGCTCTCCCAAACTTTGATTAACTGAGAAAGGCTAGACTCCTTACTCCTCCAGCTTCAATTACAGAATGAAGGATGAAGCTATATCTGGTTTTCGGAGTAAAAATATTTTTAAGAGATTTAAAAAGACGACTGCTTTTGTCTTCCCATGAATATGTATAAACTTGTATTAAAGTGTAATCACACAGTCTCCAAACATTTATATCATGTTCCTGGACTTTATTTTTAAATGTTTAAACAAACACTGAGAGGCTAAACACACTTTTTTCTCATATAAAATCAAATCAAAATAGAACTCTGGCAATACGCCTTTCTGGCTTAAACGCAAGAGCCGAAAGCTGCCAAAACCTCAGATTAGGAACGAGCTTTGAAAGTTGACCACCCACGTAGTGCTGGACGGGCGTTACTGGGAGGACATGTGTTATCTTCAGAAGATCGGGAATCAGGGCCTTCATCTCTTGCTCCCTCCCACATAAGAAAGAGGTTAATTGGATTTAGCCGCAAGGGACTGCTGAACTAAATCATGAGGTACCCAGTGTACAGGCGTAAGAACCTTTCAAGTAACTTATAAAAAATAATCATATTATCCTTTCAGTTCTCCACTTGGACAACTCACTTGGACCATACGATACGAGCTTTGGATGTGCGTCAGATGACAAAACCAGCCCAGCAGCCAAGGCAGAGGAAGACAACGCAGGGTGCCCATCCGATGGCATTCCTATGGCTGACATGGCACCGTCCCACCCTTTGCCATGATGTTTGCTTCAGATTATGTTCTCATCTGTTATCTACACGCTTTCGGTTTTTCCAAAACGACCCAGCAGCTGTTATCTTACAGCCATTACTGTGCAAACAATGTTTCGGAAAGCAAGGTGAAAATCAGAAGATGCACTGAAACGCACCAGGCAGGGCCCAGTAATAGCACATCACTCTTCTGCTTTGTAACTAAATGTCCGTCTATGATTTTCCTGGAAGGATATTATACTCACTTTCTTAGAAATAATATAGACAAATAGCACACAGGTAAAATTCTGCCTTATTCAACTATGATGAAGCAAGCAGATATTGTAACAGAGCAAAATTTGACAAGGACGGTAATGATATTTTAGCATCAGTACAAAAAAAATCCCAAATTTAACAACCTTGAGATTAAACTATTCTGTCCAAATGTAATTTCTATCTGATAAATGACTCAGGGCATTATTTTCCCCACTCTACCTTAGTACCTTCCTCAGCGAACACGACAAAAAGTATTAGATTTACTTAGATTACTCAGAGGTTGAAGTTTGCTGGGGAGAGCGGAACTACTGGGTACATGGACTACATTTAAGCTTTGACTATGATGACACAGAGTTAAAACTGCTATTGAAGGAAAAAAAAGAAGACAAGCTTCTATTCCTCTGTCAAACTGATCTGTTGTTTGAATTGCAGACTAGATCTGTAGAAATTATGTAAAAGGCTTTGGTACAAGTTAGATAGAAATATTTACCTTTACATGAAAGGAAAGGAATTATCTCTGCCATGCATATAGATATTATAAAAAGCATGGCTTATTTTTGTCCAGTTAAAGAGTAAAATTATGGCAGTATAATGCAAATAATTGCATAGTTTATCTGTTTACAATTAGCAGACATGTCTAAATAGCAAGAAAGAACTTGAAAAAGACACAGCTGTAAAGGCACAGAATAAACAGAATGCAGAGAAAATAACTACTCACATGGGATACGTGCTTGTTACTATGACTGTTAAAATGCTTAATTTAGTGTGGAGGCTGTGGATCATGTCAATGGGGTTATCTCACTATCTCGCTGCCAATGTTGCCATGAGGGTTTATTTGATGTGTGGGCAAGTTACATGCACACACAGAGAGAAACAGTGGCAGTCACACTGCAGATGAGTAAAACAGGTACTTATTTCAAAGTATTTCAAAGAGGAAAGAATTGAGTGCATACATGCAGTGTGGCCATTCCTACAGGGGTCAGTCATGAAATGGGCACACTTCCCATCAAAACCAGAACCTGGTTTCTAACATTGTATCTAGCATGTTGGCTAGCAGACTGAACATCTGAGACACATTCACCTGCATTAGGTGAGAGTATCACTCTGCTGCTTGAAATTAAGAAAAATGTAACATTCAGCTTTCATCTTCCTTAGCACATATTATGCCATCTTTCTTATAATCATAAAGCAGCATCATACAAGCAAAATTCCTCCTTACACTTGACCCTTGGCCTCAACTGGAAATGGAAAGAGCTCTCTCTAAGGAGAATTTGAACATGGAGATGAAGTGAAGCTAAGAAGCTACGAGCACTGTCTACATTGGTAACCACATAGTCAAGTGCAGTTTATTTTAGGAATCTGTGAAACTAATTCTTACTAATTGCAAGGCTGTAACATGATTAGGAGCCAATGAAGAAATATCACTGAGGCAAGCAATCAAAGTGTGCCCTTCAGTTATATTTATATTGTTAATTTTTAATAATCTTATTATGATTTTTGTATGTATGTGCACATGCTTATGTTGTCTATGTACCTCTTTGATATTTTGCTGTTGTTTGAATATCGTTTTTTGTTTTTATGAGGCCAGCCTCCAAACTTTGTGACATTTGTTCATCCTTCACTTTAAGTTAGAATCATTAATACTTACTCATACATATCACATAAATAAAGCCGTTGTGTTCCATTTGATTCTGTTTAAAATTGTAAAACTCTGGCGTGAATTCAGACATATGTATATATGTGAACCGGTGTTATTTTCTTAGGGTTTACATACACAAACATTTACACTGGCAAAAGTAATTATCTCTTGTTCTACTATCAGTCTTCCCTAGTTTCCAGTAGCAAAATACTATTACCTACAGGGAAAGCTAATTCCATCAAGCATTTCATGCTGAACCATCACATATATCTTGTATGGCTCTATTACACGGACCTTCTGAGAGGGGCAAGACTGTTCAGACTAAGAATTTGAATATAAACAGTTAAACTGCAGTAAGCACTCAACTTCAGATCTTTCCTATACTTCCCTCTAGCTAGCTCCCACAACAACATTCTCATTTATTCTGTAAGAATTCTCCACAAGATGTGATTTTTATATTGACTCCAGATCAGTAAATTAACCTATGTTTGCCTCTAAAAAAGACTTCTCTCTGCATGCTACAAAATTCAGGCTTAAAGACATTTAAGACACTAAAGACAGTCATTACATTAATGATAAAAGGTATTATTTTCATCTATTACTAGCATTGAAACTGAAGTTGATGAAAACAGGAAAAAAAAGATTGTGTGACAAAATCATAATCCTTCTTTAAATTGTATTGAGAGCTATAATCTCCCTTTACCCAGTAATCATATAAAAGGGTCAGGTGAACTAAAAGCACAAAACAAATAAAAATGTACTTACCCCAAATTGCCATGAAAATAGCAAAGAAGACAGTCCCTCCATTATCAAACAGATGCGTAACCTGAAGAGAAAATACATACATCAGGAACAAATCATGTTGTCACCTTATCTTTTGCCCCAAAGAATCCGAGGGTACCTAACTGGTGGCAAAAACTAAAGGCTAAGCGTTTGAATAAGAAGGCCTACGTGCATGTTCCTTTTACCAAGGTTTGTCCTGTTCTGCCTTTCAGTGTAACTTGAACTCCAGACTGTCACTTCATGCACCTCCAGTCTGTTCCACAGACACCAAGAGCTGCTCCGTCCACGGCCAGGCAAGCTAAAAATTCCTCCAGAGTTCTACTCATACGCTGAGCCAAATGTAACCTCAACATTTTCTACTTAAAGGTTTTTATAAGCTTAAATAACTTCTGTCTTATTGCCTTTTTTCCTCTTTATATTCCTTAGTTAATGTCTCTTTTGCTTCCATTCTCTTCTTCTCCCAAGCTATCTTGCAATTTCTTTGCAGGTAAGAATAGTGTATATTCCTTTTTATCCAGACATCTCAGCGTCTCAAATTGTTGACATATTACCCTTCTTAAAAGGCTAGTGCCCCTAAACTCCCGCAAATATTAAATGAATTCTAAATACCACACTCCCCCAAAACCTAGTTCTAAGGTGTGCACTCAATTTCACCTCATGAATGCTCTCCTTTTTGTTGGATTTATCCCTTATCTTACTGTTTGTTGTAAGATTTCTCTGGCAGAATAGATATTCTGCTGCAAAGTCTAAGGCTTACCGACAGGAAATAAGTAGCAATCAGATCTGCCTGCCTATGGATCACTCTAAGCATTTGTGTGGGTAAATTTGATGTCTCACTTATTATGAAAACATCGCAATTTATATTACAAAAATCCAGAACTTCTTATATTCAAGCCATAATATGAAACAGTATTTAGGAAGCTAAAATTAAGATCATTGTACTCTGAACAGGTTTAAGGTTGCCAACTTATAGCAATGTAATTTATCCAGGGATAACAGGCCTACATTTTTTTCTAATAAAAGGTGGTTTATAACATTTCTGAGTATTAGTAAGCAAAGCACAGGCTTTAAATTCTTATTCTGAAAAAAAGGCACAAATTTTTATAGGATAATAGAGCAAACCAACTTGTCACCAACAGGCATATTTTAGAAAGAGGGTCTCAAGAGAGAGGAAAAAGATATGAAAAACTAGTGCAAAGAAATGGCTTTGATATGTACTGTCTTAAACCATCCAGAAAATTCAGATTTCCCACTCTTTGAAACAAGAGTAGAATGTCTTGAAATAGAATATTCTTGAAAAGACTTTACTTTCGTTGGTGTTGATCCCATTGATGACCTAAGGACCAATTTTTAAGCTTTTCTCATGAAAAGAAACCCTTATGCCAACAGAAGGGCACAGGCACAGGAATGTTCTGCACGCGAGGTGTGCCGGGATGCTGGGGCTGACAGCCCGCCCGGGGCAGGTTACCTGACCCGCTGCTGCGAGAGCTGCCTGCTGCAAGGGCAACTCCTCCTGCTGACAGTTTCCTTCTTCTAGAGAAGGCTGACATGGTTGCTTCTGCCTCGCAAATCAAATAAACTAACTCAGGAAAGCAGAAAAAGTTAATAGAAACAGTGTTGCTGTTTTATTTCTTACAGAGTAAAATTATTATAATATTGTGAGAATTTATTAAAAACACATATATTTTACCTGTATGTCAGTTTATTTCTTCTTTTTTTTTTTAAGATTCTGAAATGGGAATTGACTAATTGGCATTGGATATCAATAAATCCAATATGTGCCCTGTATAAATCCTACAATGGGATCAATTGTACATACAAATATGTCTTTTGCTTTGTTTTTCTTTTGCTTCCATAAAGCAAAACACAAACATAACATGTATGAGACTGAAAATGTGAGAGGTGACCAAAAGCAGTGCAACAAACCTGATGATGGTTTTCAGTTTTGAACGTAGATGCGTGCAAGGATGTGATTTTGGATATTCTGCTCAGTGAAGAGTGCATCTTTCCAAAGAAATACAAAATGAACCAAACAAATAAACAACTCCAACCCAGCGGAATTAGCATTGCTAAAGTTAGAGCATACGTGTCTGGCTCCCAGTCTAGCTTTATCTGTATAAAAAGTGACTGGGCTGTAGCCATTCAGCACCACAATAAGAATTAAAATTTGACTATCTTAAAGGCGACTCCATGTTGACCAGAGGCCTCTACGCAGCAGTGGAACACTGCAGGACTCCGTGCTAGCCTGTCAGCATACCTGACTGATCTTGTCATCGTCACACAAGGCTTCAGGCACTTCAAATCCACCCCGAATCAACAGCCCCCCCCTCCAGGGCCAAGGGCAAGGTGCGCCGGGCTCAGAAGCAGCCCCAAAAGCCCTACCACACCACGCCAAATCACCCACGGATCAAAGAGTCCACTTAACGCGGACGAGAAGCACAGCCCAGGTATTCGGCAAGTCAGATCACAACTCGGGTATTACATTCCGTTCCCTTAAATTATAAACTTCACTTCAGTGTGGCATTTTTAAATGGAAATGCAATAAAGAGGGAGGGGATGAAAGAAAACAGCAGCAACCAGAAGGAGAAAGGCACCTTTTGTATTTCGTCTCCAGCTTTACAAAAAACTTGGCATAAAAAAACCCCATTTGAAGTATATGATTTTTCCGGTATTAGTTTGTACTGCCTGAAGTGCTCCTCCAAAGGGAAACTTGGCAGATAAGACAGAAACTCTGACAACAGTTTTAATAACATGAAATATGAGCACAAGGCCTTATATAATAAATGAGCAGGTCCCGTGACATAATAGGTTTGGGGAGATAAACTTGACCTAAAAAAATTCACTTTTCCTATTAACTCCATGCTTATGTACCCGCATACAATGAGCTGTTTGAATGAATAAGGATTAAAACACTTCTTCCAGAATAAGGGTGCCAGTGCCCGGAATGCATCAGGAATGCTTCCCTTGCATATCAGCTCTTCGGTTGTGTGCAAGGAAGACAGGGAAACAAGTTATGTTCCCACAAAAACAAAACCAGAGGGAAACCCTGATGAGGTCCCACTCAGGAACAAGCAAGCAAGCAGGAAATGCCATTTTCTTTTCCCAGAGAGCAGATCTGATGCCTTATTTCCAGATGCATTCTTTCTACTTATATTACTAACGCTGCTTCAGAAAGTACAAGGGAGCATTTGGTTTGAAATCAGACCGTAGTTTTCTAACATTACGGGTTGTTTTCATTCACTGATTCGGGTGCAGACCCAGTGGAAGTGCTGACGTGTTTGGGTATCTGCTGCTCAACTTGAGCAACACGGTGGCAACCAGCTCACATCTCCTGCTGGCAACCAGATGTTTCCGAGCAAGAGGGTAATGAGGGAAGCTGCAGTGAACTTTTATTTAAAGACAACATGGTGAGTGAAGCCTCGACAGTTATAGCCTCAGAGTTCTAAAAAGCCTCACTGAGCTTTTTCTTTTTTAATGCTTTACCATTCAAGTGGCCAGGCGGTAATCCTATTCCTTCCCAAAGAGAACTCATTCTCTCCCTGACCTGGGGGAAATCCAGAACAGACAAATCCTGAAGTGAGACAATTTTTTGTTTGTTTTCCATGTTCCAGTCTAAGATCGATCAGTTTTTCAGAGCAAAAGCCTTGGCACGAAAAGGTGGGAGCTTACACAAATTTCCATGACACTTGCAGACATCACGAAAGGGTGCCTACGAAGATGGAACACGAGTGGTTACTGCTTGTCTTCCCTGGTTGTCACCTGATTTTGTTTCAAGGGGACTGGTTTGAAAATACGTGGAAGTACGGATGGACTACCACATTTTTTTCTGCTGCAATGAATTATTCACATTGTGACATTAAATGTGAAATCTGCATGATTTAAGCACATGATGTCAGTGTAAATATAAATAAGACACAAAACCTGCTTTTTATTAACTGGGGATGTTAAAACAACAGGACCTAAAGTTAAGGAATGCCACAGTGTCAAGTGTATTAATTTCCTGTTAAACTGCAGAGGACTGCTGAAGAGGTACTTGTCATCTTCCAAAATGAGGCATTTCTGGGATAAGCTGTATAATTTGCATAATGTTATTTCAAAGCTCTTGTCTTCAGTACACATTTAAAAAAAAAAAAATTAGTATAAAAAAAATTTCCCAAAATATTTCATGAAGTTGTTTTCTGCTATAAAGTAGTCTTTGTTGCTGTTGTTACAAAAGAACTTAAATTATTTTTATTTTGGCATTATAAAACAGAAAATTAATATTGTCAATTCTAATTGTAAAAAATTTTTTCAACTGTCAAATGTTTTTAGATTTTCCTTCAAAGATAAATTTAAAATGTGGAATTTTGGTCTTATGTTGGTCCTATCTATATCAAATTTCAAAATGTAACACAAAATTAATTTTCTCTTTCACACTGCTGCAGTGCTGTTGTAATGCCATAGCCCAGAGACAATCACATTTTATAAATACAGGCTTCTAAGCAAGATTTATCTTATGGGCTAAAGAATTCCAAGAAAAATGCCAAGGCTGCTTTTCCAGCATTATGAACACACCACACATCAAAATACATTGCTCCTGTGAAAACCCTACAAGGATACAGAAGTACTTGTGACTAAGTTATAAGGATATCTTCTTGTAGCAAAATATTTAGTTGTGTAAAATCTTCGCCTTAGTTTGATATAGCAAAGCAAATCACAGGCAAATTATGCTAAAGAATTCCTTTCGGAGGAGCAGAAATTCAATAACAGAGCAAGCAAGAGAAACAGAATTAAGAAGTCAATTATAGGGGAAAGTAGGAAAAACCTTCCAAGAAAAGTTTTGTTACTCAGAGGACTTTATAAATTGATGAAAATAATAAGGATTCAGGAAGGAAATGCTCACAGAAAGTAAAATGAATTTTATAATAATCTCTGATCATTGCAGAGCATTCCCTTATCAGAAACATGAATTGGAAAGGCTAAAAAAAATTCTGTAGACAAACATCATGTTTTGCAGGAATCTTCGCTGAAACAAGGGCAGTCATTACACAATGAAAATGGATCTTTAGACAAAAAATACCTTGATAGCAATAAGACAATAATTACCTTAGCATATATGCAGCTTTCATTAAGTTTTTGCAGTGTGCAATTACGTTCACACATAGGGCACATGATGGTTTCATTTGCCTCGCAGATCTCTTTGCTTTAGCAGAAGACAGAAGAATAAAGGTTATAAAAAGGCTTTTAGCATTCTTAGGATTTTCTGAGGTTATGCCATTTGTGGTCCCTATTTGTTAACAGTATGCCTACATCACAAAACTGGCTCAATAAAATAAATTAAAACAGAGTGTTGGGCTTGAAAAGCCTAATCCCAAATCACTACCCTTCAAACTGTGGGCCCTAGAGTAGTATGCAATATTTTTGGGCATGATGTGACATTTCTCGCACTTCTGAATATCCCATTCTCTCCCAAATATCACAAACAGAAGAAAAAAACATTGTTCACTACCTGCAAAACAATTTACTTCATATTTATCTAAATGATGTAGAAGATAGCAACCATTCAGAAGATGGACATCGTTGGTGTAACTACACTGATCGCAATCAACTTCTCCCAGTTTACATCAGCTGAAGGTCTGTTCCACAGGAAGATCGCATGCCCACTTAGACCAACAAGTCACATGTAAAAACCCACTGACAGGGATTTCTGACAGCAGTGTTTCAAGTCTTTGTGTTTTTATTTCCTACAGAAGAACTTCTGTACAGGTAAAATAACTTTAAGCCACATTCTGATGTTTAAGGATCCTAAGATTTAGGAAGATGTCTTCACCAAGTCACTGTCTTCACTGGGACCATTCATATTCAAAACCTAGTACATAATTCAGTGTCTTGACAAAGGCAAAACAGGATTAACAGAAGTGCAAAACTGAATTTTAAGGCAAATTTTAACTGCAGTGAGTAAGCTTCCCAAAGAATCTCAGCAATTGCCTTTCCCTGTCCTTCAGCAATGCTGACATGCATGAAATGATCCTGTAGCACACAAGGGAAGTAGCAGTGTAAAACAAATGCCAGGAAATCCTTACTAATTTGTTTTAATAAACATGGCGCTTTCACTCTCCTACTCATAAAATCTGAATTTACAGTTCTAATACCGTATGGAAGATTATGCTTATTTCCAAATGAGTGCATCTATTAAATCCTGTCTGACATAGCAATAAATAGAAATTAAAGATTCTGGTTGCCTAGATGCCAATTCTGTAATCTTTGGTCATACTTCACACAACATCAGAATCTCTTCTTCACTGAAACCCTACAAAATAATGTGGATCTGACAAAGAAATTGTCCTAAGTAACCCTTAAGTCAGAATGAGCAAAGCCAGTCATTTCAGATTTGCAGAGGAGCAGAGATCTTACAGTATGACACATCAGAGAATTTTCTTGCTTGCATTTTCATTCAAATGATTAAGCACAGAAAATCATATTTCAACAGTGAGTTATAATAGTGTGGCAATAATACAAACTGTTGTCAAATGTAAGGCTAAATTGTATTGTACTCTGAAATTAAATTAAAATGTTAAGATTTTCTGTACTATATATCTTGAGTTAAAATCTGGGTTTGTTTTTAATAACACATGAAGTTTCACAAAATTATACTGAGGGTGATAGGTCCCATGCTTTAGCACTACTCTGCCTAGGCAGTAACATTTGCTACACAAGTGTTTGTGACAGGTGCTACGTTACCTGTTACTGCAACTCAAATCTTCAGTGTAACAGAGGAAAACAAGCTGCTTTGTACTGTCCTCCCTTCTACATCTGAAATCTGACTAAAGCACATGGTGCAAAGACACCTCAGGCTATGCTGCGCTCATGCCCGGCCTTTCTGTTTGACTGACAACAAAGGGACAACTCACAACCGTGATAATTCATATGTGTAAACCCTTCAAAACCTAATTCTTTAAAACCAGCAGAGTTATTTTTACATAGACTAATCAACAACTAATAGCCTGACACCTAACTCGAGAATAAAGACAGTTAGTAGATATGGCACGTTTGTCTGTTCAAAGCAAAGAACCCAGATGAAGGCACTTCTCAAGGACGTTTGAGCCCTTCCATTTAACTCGCACTTCACATTTCCCCCAGTTTAGCTCAGGGAAGGCAAACGGATCAAAAGATATTTGAAAGCATATGAAACAAGAAATACAAATTCATGTTTCACACTTTTGTTTCTGTGTGTCTGAGCCCTACGAATACAGTCCAAACACTCCAAAAGCTCCTAAGGAGTTTCTCACACAGAGGTTCTCTGGATTTTTCTCTTGGTCACCTTCATCTCGCAACTGAAGCCTGCATCGAGCTGCCAACACTATAATCTCAGTACCCTGGGGGACCTCAGTGTTGGCTCCTGGCAATCACACTATTACCAAGCTTTAATTCAAACCCATGCAAGCAAAAGAACATCCTCCATTCCAACGTGCCTCCAGTCACACTGCCCATCTCATGCACTTCTTTTACGACAGGAAAGAAAAATGTCCCTAACCGTGTAGAATGGAGAAACTTCTGTTTCTAAACATGGGACGTACATGCATATTTGCTTATAATAGTGTCTAGCCACTGAAACGACAGTGTGCAGGGAGGGTTTTTGTTTTCCCATCTTACTTCACCCTCCTCCTCCCTGTACAATACATTTGAATCACGGAATGATGCAATCAGAGCTGAAAGTTTATTCTTCCCCTAAAACTGTAACTGAGAATGAGAGAAGGAGAGAGAGACTACGACAAGGGGCAAAGCGCAGTGAGGGAGATGCTCGCCCTGGGAAAGGAGGAAGGCTACCACCACAAGGGAGCAAATACGCTCCGTTTCCAACTTGCTTGTGGCAGCCCCCGATGAACTACACAGAGCATCTTTCCTTTACACAGGGGACAGGGACCGACGGCCTCGTGCCAGGCTAAGATGACATACCAGCACAGCCTGAGTTATATATAATTTTTAACATATATATATAGAAAGAGCCATCTAGTATCAGGAGAGGCTCTGAGGACAGAGTGAGACAGGCACTTGTACACCTCGTAAGCAAGACAAACCAATTCCTGGAGCGGACATCATTCTGCATACCCCTTAAATTACTGCTGCCCAAAACCTATGGCTGGCATCGCAAGCAACGTCTGGCTCCATGGCAATATGTGCTCGTGTATTTGCTTATTCCTTTTCTGCTGAAACTGCGCTGGACCTCAGTGGAAAAAGAAGAAAGCGATTGTTTTCTGCCTGCAGCCGCTCAAGGGTGGCTCCTGGCAGCTCCCTGTGCCTGAGCTGTGGAGGGACAGCACTGGGGAAAGCACACTTCTGCAACATTGATCTGATCCGTTGGCAAGTTCAAATTTTGTGGTACACAAGACAAAGGACAAAATAGGGCTTTTGACAGAATTTATCACACTGTAAATCAACACTTCCTCACATCCACTGATTCCTAGTAACAGGTGTTAATAGGATGAAACCTGTTTCCCATGAAGCAGCATTACGCTAAATAATAATGAATCTGGGGCAACGTGGCAGTTCTGACATTGCCTTAGTGCCCTGGCACTAGGTTTACATTCCCAATTGCCGATGGGTTTCCTGTGTCTAATTTTGTCAGAATAACATATCCGACTCCGCTCCTTCCTGACGGCTGCTGAACGTTGCATTTGAATACTGCGGTAGCTGCAGTGCTCAAAATCAAATGATGTCTTTGAAAACTGTTACAGATGTTTATCTAGCAATTTTCTTCAAATGACTGCAGAAACACTAAATAATCTCACAGTCCCAGAATATGTCAAGAATATGAACATTTATGTTGTGCACTCTGTCTGCCTGCTAACGGATGACTCCTGTCTGCTCTAGGTAGGGGGTTTCTGTCTAACCCTCGCTAACCCCTTCCAGGCTAAGTAAGCAAATACAGCAAGGAGCAGCATCTGTTATCACTGGCCTTTAGAATTGCCTCAGTACACAAGGTGATACAGAAAACATCTACACACATTTTATCAGGCCAGTCACAATCAGCTTGCGTTAGTTAAGCTCTGTTCTTGAATCCATGTCTCACAGCAGGCCCTACTAACTCGGTCACAGCAATGCACCAATAAGACAGCATTGTGTCCTGGCTAACCAGAGGGACTGCACAGATTTGCACCATCAAAGGCAGAGAGGACCTTCTGCCCAGAATTAACACATCCAGACTACAGATGTGAGGCTGCCACAGAGCACACGGCTAGGGCTTCTGCACTAACCCACCCTCTGTCGGTACTTTGAAATGCACACTGGCTAACGTCAGCTATAATAAAGATATAAATACTCCCCTCTCCTTGCAGGCATCCAGGGCTTATATGGTGGATCACCTAACTTTCAGGCTCTTGCTTCTGGAACAGCATCCAGAGCCCCTGATGGGCACCCTGGTGTTCCGTGTAGCCCAGCATGGCACTGAGGCACATCGAGATGGGACCCAACACTACCAGCCTCCACGGGGAGCAAAGTAAAATGTGCATGTTGGGTCTGCAGCCACACAACAGCAGCCAAGGGGAAAAACTGAGGACAGGAAAACATGAAAGCTAGCCTGCCTCTGCGCTCCTGCGATCTATACACTGCAGCCTTGAGCAAGCAAGATAACCGTGTCAAATTTAGCAGGAGTCGTATCTCCAAGTCTTCTCTGGAGAAGCGTATGACACATACACAAGCACATAATAGCTTACAGTTTGAAAAAATCAAATTCTTAGAAATTTTGTTCTCTCGGGGAGTGTCAATCCCACATTTTTCTCTTCCACGAGGAGTGCCTGAAATACTAAGCCGGATCCTCATAGTAGTAGATTATGGCCCCTTGTCGGAACTGCCATTGTACATGTGAAGAATACAAGATTCCCAGTTCAACAGCTCTAGTGTCTGTGCTCTATGAACAGACTGATCATCTACTTTACATCCATTATATTTTACAGACGTTTATCGTGCAAAACAATCCTAACACGGAGAACAGTATCTTAAAGACAGCATACTTTCCTGGCTGATACATTTATTGCATTTAATGAAGTCTGAAGTTGTAAAGTCTCTCAGGAGTTTGCTGTACAAAAGCAAGCCTTAAAAAGCCTTAATTACAGCACTGCAGAATACAACTCGCTGTGAAATAGAAGATAAAGGCAATTCCATAAAGAAAACTTGAAACACTGCTGCTCAAAGCCTGCAAAACACCACTTAATATGACACCTGACCCCCAAGTATACTTCTAGCCTACAGATCCAAACTGCTTGCAGCAACAGTTGCACTTGTAAGAGCGCTGATACTGTTGTGTCTGACGACATCTAATGGAAAACTTTGTAGTGAGGGTGCATCCTCTGAAACAGTTCCTACAATACATCAGCACTTAACTGGAGCTTCCTCCTCACTATTTCTAAACTGACATAAACCTCTTTCAGAGCAAAATCCCAGCAGCGGGAAACTTAAAAACAAGGTACATTTCATGCAGCTGTAATCTCCCTGAAGCTGGGTCTCCTGGCTGCAGTTTACACCACCATAGGTAAGAATTTCGTTAGACTCAAACGTTTGCCACTATTAACACTGGGAGAAAGAAAAGACATACAAAAAAGTAAGCTGAAGTTCAGCAACTGTACTACACTCTGGAAGTTGCAGGCAAGATGGAGGTGAAGTTGGACTACATCTGTCTGGTTTTTCATCCATTAGGCTTGACTAGAACAACAACCATTGCAGTAGCCATGACATTAGAATCGGAACTTGCTGTTTTTCCTTACGGAGAGAATGGCAATCACTGCAGATACAGTGGTAAGAACACTTGCTGTAAACGGTACGCATCCAGCTTGATGCAAAACAGATATACAAAGTGGATACGCTTGACTGCAGAACCCAGTGCTCTGGTTATTTTTACATGATTACCATATCTGGAAAACTTTATAAGTATAATGACCTAAGTTGTGCCAGACTGTTCTTTATTTTCAACAGGCTATTATATATGTTATTAAATAGAATTTTACCTTACTTGGCTGGAATCCATTGTAAATAACCCGTAGAGGAATACATTTCAATTTTTTCACCAAAGTATCGCCTATGTGAAAAGCAAACAGACATTGTTTAAAGTTAAAACTTCTGGTGACCTCTATTTATCTTCACAGTAGTAGAATAATTGTAATGAGGAACTACCACTACAAGTTGATGGTAAAATTATGTCAGTTTACCAAAACATTTTATTTCAGGCTAGCATAACATTCTAATGACACTAATTGCAGACTTACCAGAACATATATTTTATAAGGACATAACTGAAGTGCTCTGTAATTTTCATGTCCTTGCAATGACTAAGCAGATGTACTAGTTTCAACACTATTAAATGTAGGACGTTTTATTGCAGGCACAAAAATAGATATATACACATTATATATGTATGTACACACATATGCAAAATCTCTGGGAAGGGATAAAGAAAGCTGGTATGACTTAAGTATTCCATTATTAAAAGCATTTATGATAGATAATCATGAAATATGACATATTTCAAACTATTACTAGAGAAAACAATGGACTGAAAACACGTGTTGAAGATTGAGTTTTAATTCTTCAAAACTTGGGTATCAGTTGCTAGAAGAGACAAAGCAGCAGTGATCAGAAAGTCAGTCAAGGATGACACTATTTGATCAGCACAGAATTGCCCCACAGCATATCCTTGGCTCCACAGCCTTCAGTAGGACAATACTGGGCACAATGATTGGTTACGACCATCAGATCAGGAATAAAAACTGACAGCAAGGAAAAATGAGTTATTGGTATGCAATGTCAAAGATGAGGAAAGTATGAAACCCAAACATCACAATTATTTAACTTCAGTTACATATAATTCTCTGTTTTACATTTGGTAATCTATGACCTTAAGTATAAGGTACACAAACAGAAGTTTATTTAAACCCACATAGAAACGTAACAATTAGGCTGCATTTTCACTCCACTGGATCTTAGCTCTGACTGTCCATGTGGGTAACAGTCTTTGCTCTCAAATGTGCTCTCCGGAGGTGCAAGTGTCTCTGATCAGCAGATGACGTTGTGGGTTTTTATTTTAAGTTTCACACTGCAAATTCTCACGCAGCTGGATCTATGTGCCTTTTATGCAGCCTCATTTGAAATTCACAGCCCTGCACAAAAGACTACCCAAAAGAAGGAACCTGGGCAATTCCAGTCTTACCTGATAACATTGAATAGCTAAATGTTACAGGAAAGCACAAGGAATTTTGCAGTATGGTTAATGCACTGTTACCAGGTTGTTTGCATCACAGAAACAAGCTGCTCATCAAAGTACTAGTACCTGATTAAATCAAGAGGTTGGTATTTGTACCACATTCCCCACCGCGCCCAGCGCTCATATAAGAGGTGTCTGTGATTCTGAGCTCCATGTGTTTTGATGGGATGTCGGCTTTTGTGGCTTCCCTGAAAAACACAAAGAAATAAAAGTACATTAGTAGGCACTATGGAAAATATATAAATTTCTTAGGTATTTTTGAATGTAATTTTAAATGAGCTGTTCATTATTTTTAATAAATAGGTCTCTTCCTATGGAAGCCTCTAGGACATGTCATCTAACACATAAGCCTGACAGAAGAGATAGGGTTACTTATGCTTCTGAAATGGCCAGGTTCTCTAAGAATTGATGATAGAACCATACCAGTACAAGACTGTAGAGAACTAATCAACACTTTACATGACTTCAAGTAAAGTGTTTCTATTTCACTAACATATGCTTAATTGTATGCTTTCACCTATTTCAATTTTTCAAAATTTTTCATAAGACTGTTGCAGCATCTTTTTTTCTCTCCAATAAGATTTTAGAAATTTCTGGTATGCCAGCTTGATTCTCCTCTCCCAGGCATTTTCTACGACTTTATTAACTCCTGTTTAAAAGTATAGAAAAACCTAGTCTTTCTTTGGTGCGTATTTTCTAAGATGATGGAAACAACAGAACTGGCATTATTTTGAAGCTACACAGGACCCTCAGAGGCATTAAAATCAAAACACCGAGTCAGTCTGACCCCAAAGGAGTCCCTCCAGGCCATGCCTGCCATTTACAGACTGCCTGAAAGAATAGCCTCATGCTCAGCAGTCAAAAGGTAACGCGCAGATTTGCTAGAACCATCCTAAGCAGAATCACTTGTATTTGTAATTTCACTCCAATTCTGAAGCAGGGCATCTCCTTTAGTTCAACTTTCTCCCCCCAGAAGACCTCACCACCCCATTACAGGTAAAGAAAATCTTTCATCAGATAACTGCAAGTGAGTCAAATCCTTTCTTGGGAGCGGAGCAGAGCAGAGTTCCCCAGAGCAGTACTTCAGAGTCAGCAATCACACAGATTCTTGACCCTGGCAGATTCATGTAATTTAGCTATTCAGATTTTTATAATTTATTTGAAATCTCGAGCATTCCCTGCAACTGAAAGAACACTCTTTACTTGTTGCAATCTGCTGACACTCTAGTTTAAGAACATTAAAAAGAAAGCTAAACATAGCAAAGTGTCCAGTCCTTACAGTCAGCAAAGCAGCATACCAAAAATGTCAACATAGAGTGTGACCTTTGCAATGTCTAGGAACACCTAGGAACAGAACATCAACTTGTTCTCACAATCACCTGGATCAACGACTGCAATGCATAAAGCATTACGCAGTATTGCATATTTTCAAATCTCCGCCCCACCCACCCACCTGCTTCTTTCTGCACTGTTTATCCATAATGGAGTTCAAGTCTCAGCGTTCCCATTGGGACTGAACTTTCAATCTCATTTGCTCGTGCGATAAAGTTAAAAAAAAAATTGAGAGCGTTCAACCACTAGCCCTTAGAACCTGTCAGGCAGCATTTAAGGTAAGAATGGTTAAAATTATGACTTCATCAACCTTAACTGAAACTTTGAAACAGCAGCTTATGCCAAAACAAAGGAACATATCCATAAAATGTATATGACAGCATGGTTCTGACAGCCAGAGAAAGCTTCACAGGTTTTTCTGGTAGTATGGCCAGCTTTATCTGAAGTCATTAATGCACAGTTGAAGCATTAACAATGATGTTGAATTATTTATCTAGAATACCCCTTTCTCTACATTCCCAATATTTAATTATTAATACCATATAAAAAATGACTCTCAACAATTTGTAAAGCACAGGTCAGTCCTTTGAAACACGAGTCCAAGTCACAACATTCAGGCCAAGCAACCACAGAGTTCACAAGCTACAACTACCATGCTACTGATCGGCACTTAAAACGACTGAAGATGTGTGGCTTGCTTCTTTCTTTTCAATACGCAAAGACTGATGAAAACCATCTGAAGTAAACCGTAAGTTTTTCATTTACTTCATGTGTTTACAGTCTTCAGTAGACTTTAACCTACTGAAAAAGATACTGTCAAGTAGAAGTTATCCAGAACTATTCAGAAAAGACTAAATGTGAAACAATTAACCAGTCTCCCTAACTGTGATCAAGTGCACAAGCTCTTGGGAAAAACAGAACATAAGTGGCAGGCAAAAATAATTTAATACATCTAATTGGAATAACTGATATTTTCATTAAGAACTCCACAGGCAGTGTCCGGTTCATAAAAATAAAAAAAGAATTATAATATTCTAATTCAACAAGCAAATGCTCCAGGAAGTTATTATAATACATTACGTATGAAAAATTTTAAAAGCCAGTATTAAAGTAAGAACTAGAAATGAGAGAATTCTCAACAGATTATGTAGTGAAATAAAAAGTTTGCAGGACAAAATTAAAAATAAAGTAGGATCTCACAACATTAGTGCAGGCTTTAATCTGAATATAAATACAAATACAAACTTAACCAGGTTACCTCATGTGGTGGAAACGCTGCTTCATATGTACCATTATTTAGCAATCTATTAATACCTAAAAAGAAAAAAAAGCATTAGTTCTGATATCAATTTTTTATACACATTTAATATCAAGCAGTGCAAACTTCCAAGTTACGTATTGAGAATGTAACTTAACATGAGATGCTCAGGATGCTGCTAAACATGACAATAATCAATAATCCCACCAACTGTGCAGGTCTTGCTAATCCCTCGAGATGCCTGGCTCTGTCAAACTACAGCAGCTTTCTAGAGCATCAACGTCTGCAACTTTTCTCCCAGGGTCGGGTGCTCATGCCAGCTCAAGTGTGAGGAGATGGTTACATTCACGCTGTATTCATCAGAGCATACGATACAGATTTTACGGGCCACCAAATGCTCTGAGATATACAGAGAGTGGTATGGACAGACAGTCCTTGAGGCAGCAAAACCCCTGCAGGGCTAAAAGCTAACCTGTTGTTATTTTCAAATATAAGGCAGCTGAAGGAATTTGTACCAGAGCAGTGCTCTGCACCATACTGGCCACCGCATTTTGGATCAGTTCCTAGAGTCTTCCTAAAACCACATTTGTTGTACTATCAAAGTACATTATAAAAAATAAATAAAAAATAACCATTCAGTAGCCTGTAAGAGCACACCCATAGCCGAAAGTTTCCCCAAGAAATAAGTACTTATGACAGATATCAGATTTGTCCATTCAAATATACAAATTATGCTAAATTACTCTTGTAATGATATTTGCCATCATCAACTTCAAAGGCATTAGATATGAACTCTTGTTTTATGTTTTTCTTACTACTGCTTTTCTTCAGAAACTCCAGCAACAACTTTCTGTAATTTCTATAATCTTCATAATGTTTTCATGTCTACATATATTTAATTCTTAATTTAATTCCTGCAAAGAAAATAGGATATCATACATATATCCCCTGTTCACTGCAAATGAAAATGAACATTTAGACCTTCTAAAAAATAACACTGTAATAGAAGTGTTGATACAAACTGAATTTAGTCTTCAGGTCAACTGTCTCTGAGCTGCACGGAGACCTCAAATAAGTTAAGTGTAGCTCACATTGACTCTGCTGGACTGGAACTGCTGGGTAGTAGCAGAACTACTAGGACCAGTCCTTGAAAACACTTGACAGTTTTCCGAGGCGTCTGTTATCTTTATTGTAGCTCTTGGTCACATAAAGTTATCTTAATCTTTCCAATTTATTTTAAGGAATTAGTAATTAGGCAAAAAATATTGCCATTCTTCACCGAGTTATTTAAGAAAAAAAATTGATGTGACATTCCTTCAACTCCAACTCTTGCTACTGAGCGAATAAAAAGATTTCAAGGGATGGCAAAATTGAATATACTCAAATGATACTTTTTCAGGCAAGTAAAGAAAGAAAATTTTTGTAGCTTCAGGTTAAGGAAAAAAAGCAGCATTCTCACCCATTTTGGATTTTCCATCTTCATACTTAGTTCTCTGTAGCATGTGATGCACGATTCTACTTCTTGTGGAATTGCTGAAGAAGCTGTCTTTGTTGTTTATTGTAAAACTATTAAAATAATGAATGTCTTTTAATATTTGAAACAATGCATGGGTGTTGAAACATAGCTGCTCAAGTGTTTTCTTCTTACAGTGATTTATTGGATCTTTACCCTCCTTGGTTACTGCACAAGATACAAAATTTTACATCTCTAGAGCATCTTCTCGGGTCCAATAAATTTCTCATCACCACAGATTACTGCTGGGAAAACAGAGCAACTAAAACATCCTACTACATAGGTCACTTCTGTTTTGGATATAATTAATTTAAAAAAAGATCTTCAGAAGCAGCGGTTATTCTGAAGTTCAAGGTACTTCTGAGTTGGCAGATGTCTGTGTCATGGAACTACCAGAACTACTATTCAGGAAAAAAGAAAATTATCTCCATGCACTGGACATTTGAGTAGCAGCTCCACAGCCACTTTCCCTTAGAGATTCCCAGGATGAAGCCAAATAAAGCGTCCTTTCCCAGATGGCTCTAGATTCCGGACGCCAGAAATCTGACATGCAGGTGCTTTTGCCTACTCAGCTGTGCCAAAAGTGACACTATTACAGCCGATAAGGTCAGCCGAGCTGGTTGAGAAATAACACCAAAAGCAGCTGATTGCTCCAATGCAATATAGTAAATTACTGAAAAAAAAATGAGAATATAATGCAATTACTCTGTCTTTCTGGGGTAAAGTCAGTCCACTAGCATATAGCTTCTTTACTGAGAAGAAAAAAATGCCTCTTTAGCCTAGTTTATACTTCTATTTTAAATGAACTTTTCCCTCCTAAAAGAATTATCACAAAATACTTCAAAAATTAAGAAACATCCAGAATTTTAAAATATAACTTTTTGGGTCCTGAAAAAATTTATGGCACAGTTTACCTACATGCTATCTTGAACACATACAATTTTTGTTTGGCGTACATATTTTTACACTTTCAGAGACAAAAGCTTTTTTAAAATCCGGATCTGATAAGAGAAAAACCATCCCTGGTTTTAGCTTGCCTCCAGGTGTTTCCAATTTCAACAGATGTCTCACGTTTTGCCTAAGTAAAATATGTAATTAAGCAAAGCAAACTCGAGCAAGTATTTGCATTTTGTAATCCAATGGAAAGAAAAACTTCTAAAGCAAAAAAGCCGGCTTTCATTTTTTGGTCAAACTTCTACCTATACTACTGAGTGACCATCAAATAGCAAGTAACAGAGAGTAGATTTCAGCTTTAAGAGAAAACTCATAGAAAATACCAAATATGATACTGGCTATTTGCCAGTGACCATCTGCTAACGGCTGCCTCTATGGCATTGCTTAGAAGAAGTGAGAAAATAAAAAAATCCTTGTCTCTGGCGCTGCCTTTCCAGTTCCAGCACTTACTGGTGTATGCGCGCCCGGCTGAAGGGTGCTGTGTAGCAATCTGTTTCTTCCAGGTCAGGCAGGGCCTCCTTATCGAGCTTCATTGGATTTCTGGGCAACCAACTTTTCAGCTCTCTCATATTCCTCTGCAAACTGAGACAGTAAGAAATCAGATTTACATGTTCTCAAGTGCTTGTTATTTCTATCGCCAACATTGTCTAGTGACATCATACTAGAAATGAAATGAAAGCAGGAAATTCCCACGTTAAGTCACTAAAAAAAAATATAAGGAGTTAAACAGCAAAAATAACAGTATTTATTATTATCTATCTTGCACGCTTCACTCAAGAACAACTCATCCTAAAATTAGTGGGGTTCTGGTTTGAGATTGGACTGCAGTATTGAGTCCGGGGAAAATCATTTTCCAAGGCAGTTCACCTGGCAGAACTGTGGATGCTTATGCTTTACTCAAGAACACGCCGAACTACTTTCTCTGGCCCCACTGGAGAAGGCAAGCGTAACTCTGCCTCCCTCCCTAGCCTGGCAACTTCGACACTAAAATTCACAAAACGTGAAAGTAAATATGAAACTGCTCAGGATCAAATTTTTATGGTTTTCTGATTCCAATAAAGCCTTCCCCTGCAAATTTTTCCTCAAAATCCAAGCAGATCATATTTTTTGTATCCCCGACTAGATTATATTCTGGTAACACAAAGGCCTTTCTTCTACCAGCAACTTGCTTAAATAATGTCTCAGGACAGGGTTTGCACAGGGGTAAATCTAATGAAGTGTGGTTAATTTTCAAGCAAATGCTAGAAGGCACCTCCTTATCACTTCAATTTTGCATTCCTTGCTGCCCTTTATTTTTTCATTTTCAATTGCAATGAAATACAGGTATTTAAGGACTAGGTCTCATTTTTAATGAGTGCTATGCTATGACACTATAAGCATGTCAGAAATCCAGAAAAAGACTAAATTTTAGAAAAACATTCCCAAAACTATATTTTTTTCAGTGAGATTTGGACCTTACTCAATGAATACGTATGCATGATATATAAACCACAGATATCTCATATCCACAAAAAGTGTGAAGCTAAGTATCAGATTTTTTCAGTCTGAAGTGAGTGCTTAATTGCCTGTGCTAAGCAGAAGCACAGCCACCCATTTCATAATTAAGAGTAATAAGCGATGACACAGCATGTTGCTCTCAGGCAGCAAAGTGACCTTTGTGAAAATGCACCTCTTACTACGAACACCAGCAAAAAAAGTTCTACCTCTATTTGACACAGCGTCGGACAGAAATCCAAGCCAAACGTGGGATCAGAATTTTACATTTAAAACTCTCAAAATTTTCTTCTTGCTACATATCGCCAAGGTATTGGGGCAGACTCTGCGTGTAACTGGCACTGCACTTGAGGGACACCACTCTATTTGACACTACGGCGTCATGAGCCAAAGAACCTAACGATGTTCATAACGCTGGAACACAGAGTACAGTTCCCAGGCAGGTGCATCCCTTAGGTGTCTCCTTTACTCAAATAATACCTTACTGTGTGAGTTGATTATCTTTACCGGTTCCAGTGGAAGTTCTCTCGGTACAAAGTCATACACAGTATACACAAGTACCGTTCTTACTTTATTTTCCTCATGTTTTTTTCTGTTGTACACATGCTGATTGTTTTGAGAGTCAAAATCCAGGCTTTTCTTTAATGAGGAAAATATGCAGATGCATCGGGATGAAGAACAGAGAAACAATGCATCTGATTTCAGATTTCTTATTACAAAACTCTTTTAAAATTGGTTACAGGAAAAGTCTTCATCCTTTTCCCCCTCCAAAAATCTAAAAATCTAGTAAATAATTATTATTTAAAGAAATCAGCTCTTGTGTAAAATTCACATCTGCTCATTTTAACATGCAAAGTAATGAAGAACAGCATTAGAATAAATTCAAAATTATGTCCACATTACATTTGCAATTTCTCTTCTGAGACAAAAAGGCTTTTTATCTAAGGTCTGATCACTTTTTCCTTACATCTCTTATGGTTGATCACTCCAAAATTCAGTGCCTTCAGACAGCATAGAATATTTCAACTGAAATGTACATCCCCCCCATGTACAAAAATAATCCAGCAAGAGAGACCTCTTTTTTTGGCTCACATTATTTCACAGTTGAAGAAGAAACTGAAGTTTCATGGAGCTTTCATTCAAAGCGATAACAAATTGAAGACTAATTTTTGCCTAAATCATAGGTCTAAGTAGTAGTGTTTTTACTCAGAGTGGCTTTCTAGGTCAGAAGTGGCAGTTTAAATGGATTCCTGACTTCATCTATTCAATGTAGTCTATTTAGTAAGAGTAAAAGCAGACTGAGCTGGTTTGAAGTCACTCATGAAGTCAGGATTTCATGCAATGAGATCAAAAATGTCCCAGTGGAACAGTACTGCAGCAATAAGGGCTGCTACTTCAGATACGCTCGTACTGAAACCACTCCAAGCTGGCGTTACTGCAACTTTGTGCACCTTGAGCTACGGGATGTTATTCTGAAACACACACACATTTTATGCTTAGCTACAGAATTTAATATTTTATAAAGATGCCTGTAACTTCAGCTTTGCTCAGCTTCCATGCCCAACTGTACTGTTCTGTTTTATTTCGTTGGTTGTTCTTTTTTGCAGTTAGTCCAAAAATCCTTGCAGATTACAGTTACTCAGCAGGCTGCAAGGCAAAGAAACACAGCATGAAATCGGTGTGTCTGATACGGCAGATACAAGACTGATTCATCAGATTACTCAGTCTGAGAGTTCAGACAGTTTTTGATACCTACATTATTTACTTGCATATCCCACTTCTAGCAACTTCCTTTCCTTTGCAAAGATTTGTTGGAGGCTTTCCAAACATTGCTCTTACGGAGTATAATAAAATCATTTCTAAAGTACACCCCTATGAATATAATTCAAGCTTCATAGGATTAAGTACAATGTTAAGGGGTTTTTTTTAGGTACATAAATAGAGAGATACCACATAGATATCACATATAAGACAGACAGTGTACCAGTAAGCAGTACATTTATCCTCTGTTCTTTCATTCACACTCCTAATAAACTTTTCCAGACATTTTAAAGGACATTTATAGATACATACATACACATGTACCCCACAGCCATGTCAATAAATTCAGAGAAGTGTACGTGTCACAGTAGGGTCTAATATACTAATTTGACCTCATATTCTTAAATTATAGAAACTCTACAGCCTTAAAATTGTAATTACCTTTGATATACAAGGATTTTAATAGAGTTCTTCATCGTAGCTCTTGTAAACGCCACTTAATAACTTAGAAATATTAATGAGATTTGACAAATTACAGAGAACCAATTAAGTTTGAAAAGTTGTAAGATGAAAAGAAACAAAAAGACAGTAGTAGAAGTTAAAATGATGAGATGTGGATGTCAGCAATTTTAGAGTTAGCTTTCATCTTTCGATTTAGCTTTTTTCTTTTTCCTTTGTGCACTGGATTATATAAAGTGCCACAAAAACATATTCATAGAAATATTCATCCCCAAATCTTCACAAAGTAAATTACAAGCATTTGTCTCAAACGAAAAAACCCATCTGGCACAAAAAGTGTTTATTACTTTGTTCACAGGTACTGGCAACTTCAGTTGCATGTTTCAGATAGCTGTCCTTCCAAATAAGAAAAACAAATTTATTTAATATCTAGGACTCACCAGATGGGTTACAGATGAAATGAGACAATTCTGCAGTAAAGCTGGTTAATTTTGCCTTTGCATTACAAAGCACATCACTTACATTTCTCATAATGCACACTAAGATGGAGCAAGCATGTGAATGACTGGGAAAAACGCAGTTGTAAATTTATGTTATAGGTTGTTTTATTTCAATATATTTTATCTGTTTATGTGCTTAAAGTTTTCTCATTTTATCGTTCAACTGTGCTTTGTCTATTTTTGTTAGACGATCATCTTGCAAACTGATATCAAGAGACTACTGAAATTGTTCCCGAGAAATAATAAGAGCTCTTCATCATCTAAAGTAACAACAGGCGAGCCTAAATCAAATGCAATCTCATCTCAAGATCCATCTCGAGAAAACATGTGATAGAAAACTCTTTCAGGAGATTTCCCTCATGTAAAAATTTTCATATCTTTTCCGTAGGTAATTAGGATTTACAAGGCCTTATTATGCCTGACTAGAGCAACAGGGAGTGATTACAGCTCGCGGCGTGCCACATTCTCGCCCCCCAGATGCCCCCGGCTGCTTTCGCCCGATGCTGTGGCCGCTTGCGCCCTGCTCCTGGCTGACAGCAGCAGCCGCCGCAGGTGAGCAGGGCTTGTGTCTGCCTCCCAGGGAGCTAAAGAGCCTTCACTGCGGCGTACAAGCTACTCTGTCAGCTATCAAAGAAAAATTCAAAACAGCTTTTGGTGTATGAGTGAGAGGAGCTAACGTTTGCATGTCTAAGGAAATAGCTGATGACCAGAATCTGAGATACACGCTCAAAAGTATCTTTCGTGATAAAGAAATAAGCCTTGGTAACAGCAGACACCACTGTAGAGATGGCTCCAGTATTAAATCTTTGCTGCCAGGATAAGGATGGGTTTTTTTCCCTGGCATAAACATTTTTGCATTTCTAAAATGAGAACTGGCAAAGCTTTAAAGTACTGCATCTTGTTACACATGAATATTTTAACACTTTGAGCTAACATACTTCGAGTTTGCAGGAAAATAATCTAATTTTCCAAGTTTTCTGGATAAATTTACAACTGCGAATGGATTTTCTTTAGCAGGGTGACTATCTGACAAAATTAGAAGCTACACATCACCCACCAACCTGCCCATGGTTTTGCTCCTCCAGTCAGTGTAATAACATTTTTTCCTGAAAGAACAGCAAAAATCAGCTGAGAATAATCAAGTAGGAGACAGTTGAAAAGGACATATACATTACAAAAGAATACCAGACATTGTAAAACATGCATTTTCATAGGCAGAAATGTGAAAAACACTTAAAAAAAGGCAAATGAAACAGAGCAAGTCATTAAAATGCTGTGATTTCACATATTTTCAAGTTCAAAATTTGTTCCTCACTCAAATTTAAATTTTACGATTTGTAGCTAACACTACTAATTCAGTCAAAAGACACTCTTCAGACAGAGTTCAATGGTGTCGTGCTAGTATTCATTTCACATGGTCTTTCTCAGCTTTTATTTCATGACACTCATTTTAGAAGAATTAACAGGCTACTAAATACCTTATGCACTCTTTTGTATTGAATACCGTAAGCACTTAATGCCACCAGATGCCATCTCCATTCTCTGAAGTGGTATACCATCACCTTTCCTTGACCTTTTGCATCCACCTGAAGAACACTACATGGCCCTAAAAAAACCTAAGAGTACTAAATGCAACAAACAGCTTTTATGTTAACAGATCTTTTCTCTCCACTCTTCACCTGTCAAATCAACTTAGAGAAACAAGACCAGAAATTCCCAGCAAAGTCTTCTGAGAACAGTTGTTTTGAAACCATATAGAAATATATTTGGTGCAATGTAATATTTTAGGCATCTAGTTTCATTTTTTCAGGTTTTCTTCTGGTCTTCTCCTACCATTTCATGTCACATTTCAACTACACTAAGGCCTCGATCTTGCACATTCCTTCGGCATCCCTGTCTTTACCACGGCACTTCTCTGAGGACAGTGAAGTTCAGCACCAGGGGCTTTGCTCCTCGTTTAGTTCAACTTCTGCTTAAAATTTGTCTAAATCCTTTCTACTTCTGCAAGGTTTCCTTTTTAGGAGGAATTAAAGCAAGATAATTTGGATATATTAATATTAAAGTTTAACATTATTTTCAGTCAATATTTTATCCCCCTTTCCATTCTAACACCTGCAAAACCAGTACATTCACTCTGGATACTTCTCCATCACTTCTTTGCCTAGAACCATACATAGTTAGCAAGATCTGCAACTGCCCATCAGGGCAGTATTTGAGATTAATTAAAGTACACTACTTACATTAAAGTAACATGAATATATTAAAAGAATTGGGAAAGAACTGTTGCCTAGAAAATACGTGGCCATTGGAAAACCATGTATCTACCAGTTTGCCGGCTGTTGGCAGCCTGGCACTTGGTACTACCAGGCAGAATTGTAAACGATGCCATGAAAAATTATTAAAGGATTTTCAGACATTACATTTTTAACAAAACCCTTCCTTTATTTCCTTTAATTGCCCTTAGCTGTTTTGCACAGATGGAGTCCAGGTGAGCTGCAGATACAACTACTTTATTCATTACACAAAATAGTAATTATGTGTCACAAGAGATACTTGTAGACGCAGATAAAATTAACCTTTTGTCTGAGTTTCAGAAATACATAACAGAGCTTCATTTCTGCTGACAGACCACACACTTAAAAAATATCTACAAATTGTGAAAAAAACCACAATCCACTCCTGAGCTAACCTTGGATCTAACACAAACCCTGTCTGAAACCATACACCAGACAACAGTGATTGCCACAGAGTCATTTGAAATGCTACAAAAACTTTATTTTGTAAATGAAACACTGAAAATCCATCTGTATTACTTATGACGTATACTATACATCTGCCAAGACATTTACATATAATGCCATGCTAAAACAGTTCTAGGATGCTGGGTGATCCCCTTGGGTCAGAAAAAAGCATTTTTACTTTTCAGCAACAGAGATAAATACTTCTTAACCAATGTAACAATTCTGTTTATTTTGTTTAGATTTCTGGATTGAGCAAAATGAACCTAAAAAGTATCAGTTTAATTCTTCATGTACTATTCAAATATTATACTGACATACGGCATATTTTAGTGACCATAACCAAAACCCAAAATTCTTCAACCCTGTGCAAGTGAATGAGGGTGTACTACACTAAAGTACTGGTAAAGCTACTGGTAAACCAGATAAAGGCTAGGAGAAGTTGGAAGAGACCCACAAGGATCATCGAGTCCAACCCCCTGCTCCTCGCAGGGCTACCTAAAAATTCTTGGGAGGGAAAGCCTCTAGTTCATTGTAATTGTGGGAGAAGGTATGAACTGAGCTTCCTCTGTCCACTGAATGGAGAAAATAGTTACCTCAGGACAACAATATACATCATCCAGTTAAGAAAAGTTTGATCTAAATAATTAAGCTCAAGACTTAAATCATACAAAAATGCTTTTGACAGAACAAGTAAATTATAAAATGCGTGGTCACAGGATGTCGTTACGGAAGCGTAGGTGGCTATTTTTGCATACATGAAAAGCCATCAGGGGCTAATACAAACAAATATGAAGACATGAATTCTGCCTCAGAAAGTCTCTAAACCACAGCCTTCTGGAAAGAGCGAAGGCATCATGAAAGACTGCTCCAGATTTGCTCGGCTTCTTTATTGGACACTTTGGTTGCTGGCAGAGCAAACCAGATCTTTGTTCTATTCTGCTACGTCCACAATAAAACTGTGTTCACTTTTATTTTTTAGAAAGTACAGAAATGAAAGAAATAGCCTATTGGAAATACTCACACAAGTTACAGCTTGCAATTTCATTTACCTTCCTATTAAAATCTTTTTAAAGAGAAAAGAAATGGTGATCAATTTACTATTTCTTACAGTTCTATTATGGAGGTAGAGGTAGACAGTGGCCTTTTTTCTTACCAAATAAATGTGTTTCATTCTACAGCAAAACTGCCAACAGTGTGAAGCAGCAAAATTTAGCATTTTATATACTTCTGGTGTACTGAACTGAGTGGGATAAACGGAAGCTAAACCAACAGTCCCAAAACAAATAAACATGGATCAGACACTTGGGGGGGGAGATAATACACTTACATGTCAGTTAATACTATAATAAACAAAAATCACTTTGAATGCCTTCCAAATGAAGTAGTATTGCAAAAGTCAGACCTTTTTTTTCTGAAGAGGACTACTACTGACCCATGAAGTTACTAGAATGATGAAGACTCAAACCCTTGCTAACTCCTAACTTCATTGCGTAACTTCAAGTATCAAAAGCAAGAAAGAACTATTTTTGAATTGGAATTTAGATTGTTTATGTGTGTGTACACACATATGCAAACACTTCTATATTTAAAATGTTGACAAGAGTTATTCAAACTAGAGAAGCTCAAATGGCACTATAATAATACTCTCGAACATATGGAAGATGACTGCTACAGAAAATGTTTTTTATGGAAAGGACTCTGAAGGCTTCATAGGATGATGTGGTAACTCAGTATAGAGCTGGGTATTTGAAACAAGTTTTGTGCAAAGGATGCTTCAAGATGACTGTTTCTGGCTTGGGACCAATGCAAGAGAGCCACATTGCGATAGCTGAAACCAGCAGGGACATGAAAGACAGAGCACTTGGCAATTCAAGTGAGAAAGGAGCGCTGTAAGGGTATTTTCCGTGAGTCACACAGCTTTGGCATCTGGTTACCTCTTTAACTCCTGATGAGGTTTACAGCACACTACATGCTCTTCTCTCTCTGGTAGAACATAACTCACTGATTTGAAACAGGACATTTTCTCCTTTAAAAACTTCTATATTATTGCAGGTGACATTAACTTGTCCTACAAATAACTAAGAACTATTTATTGCAAAAGCATATGACAGAATTTGTTTAGCACACAAACAAGGAACTCTGTTCGACTCGTTATTCTGCCAAAAGGTAGCTAGAGGATCAAGAAATAAAGTTATCCCATTTTCTCCAAAGTATGCAAATATGTGTGATACTGGAGACACAGAAGACAACAGCTATCTCTGCCATTTCACTTGCCTTTGGGAAAGACTTCAGAAATACCCTAAAATCATGGGGAATACCTGAACTCAGATGGAGAATACCTGAAACTCTGCCAAGGACATCCAAAACAATGTCTGAACTATTAACAATATTTTCTAAAGACATATGCTCAATTTGACTTGGAAGGTATGCTGGAAAACAACTACTACAGGTAAATGTGAAAAGAACTGTACCTATTTTTTTGTTTCTCCCCTCCTCTCTCCATATCATCTCAATAAATTAAATGTAAGCATGCCCAGCCACATTGCAGCAAAGACGGCATTTTAGCCTTAAGGTAAGTAATCAAGTTTTAATATTAAGTATTAAATGACAAGTTTCTTAAAAGAGTTTCCACAATACCTGAAAGGCATCCTGATGTTCATTCTTTCTGCGTATTTGCACAATGTCTCCCACGGACAGTGAATTTTAACAAACATGATATCACTGTTTGTAACAGCTGGCTGTAAAGAGTGGTAATAAATAAATACATATTAATAATTCAAACCTCTGTGGCATTCACCTTTCTTGAAAGCATTCTTCAGGGCCAAATTCTTCTTTTAGGCCTGAAATTGCCATACAAATCTGAAAACACTTTAAGTGCTCTGAGTTAGACAAAGGAAAATTAATAACTCCCCCCCCTCCTCCCCAAAAAAACCCCTCTGTACTATGAGTAAACTAGTAACTGTTGAGAGGAATCTGTAGGATAGATCTTTGCTCATAAACACAGCAGAAGTAGAGAAAGAATTTTTGCAGCATTTTTTGACACGGGATAAATGAATTTATTTTAAATCCCCTCAAAATCATCTTAGATGAGCAGTTTGAAGACCATCCTGTGCGTCTCCCATTTAAGAGGAGCGCTCAGCTGCTTGAAACATGAGAACAGCTTAGAGAAGGCTGCAGGTCCCACTCTGCCAAAATGTTAACTCCAAGGAACAGTTCAGTAATTGCAATATCTGCTACGAACTTATAAATGTGATCCCTGTACGAATTGAGATTTTTTTGTAAAATTACACTCTACACAAATGTTTTTCATCACTAATTTATTTGTACATAAGAATTTCAGCATTACAGGTTCCTATATTTATCTTTTCTTATGAGCAGTTCAGTTCCACACCCTTCTCCCAGATGTATTTGCTTGAGTTTTTGTAAGTAAATATTTTGATAGAGTTGAGTCCAATTAAAGCTTCCCAAAAACTTGAGGTTTGGTGAGTAAAGGTAAAAGAAAATGTAGTTAAAGGGTTAATAAAATTTAAAATGTTCATGATTCTACCTGCCAATTTCATAAAGTCACATCACAGTTCAACAATACTACTTCTAGGATTTCATTTTTCTCAAAAGATGTGGATAAAAGTACTACTAGAAGACAATTTAAAACACAATATCTAGAATTATGATATTACAAAACCATGTTTTTTTCCTCAAGTGTCAATACTTGTGAATTGACACCAGCTGGGATTGTTGTGATGTCAATAAACATCCCCAAATCAGATATTTTTACTACTAGACTCCAAACCATTTTTAAAAGCCTTAAAACCAAATTTTCAACCACCGCCACATCAGTTATTTACGAATATTCAACACGCTATGTTGTGAGCTAGAACTTGCAAGGACTTCAGAATAGTTAAAAGCTCTTCGCTTTCACACAGAACATGTAAGGTTGTCTGGTTTACAAGTAATTCATGAAACAGCAAAAATCCAAGGCTGTTTTCCTGGCTTTGTTTTCCTTCCTTTTTAAATTAATACTGTCATTACCAGGGCTGGATTAACCTGACACTGACAGTCTTAACCCCTTGAAAATCAGAGGGACATTTAGTATTGTGCATTCTGTTGAAAGACATAGAGGTTATGTGTTAAAGCAACAACATGAGTTACAGCAGCTTCTTCCGTTCGGCAAGCATGAGGGGCTGGAAGTTTTCCCTCTATGCTGCACTGCACCAGTGTGGACGGTACATGTGTGCATGCATCCCCAAACATGTTCAACACACACTATCAAACAATTGTTATTAATTTAGTAGCATTAAATCAATGGTGGGAAGGGCCTGACTGGAAAGGTTTGTAAGACTGTCATGAAACTTTTATAAATTTACTGAAGTATGACAGCATTATAAAGGTTTCCTTATACCGCATAAGCTACAAGACTCACCTCTCGTTCTAACATCAATCCCTCTGCTCTCAAATTCTTCTCAAATGTGCTTCTTTTTTCTACCTGCGGGCTTGACTTTTTGTAGACCAAGATGTAATCAATGCGCTTTTTGCCATCTTTGAAGAAGAGCCCTGATGACGCCATGGCACCAGTCTGGAGAAGATAAAATAAAAATACACTAAATATGGCATCCAAAATGATGCAGAGCCCCATCATGAACTTTTCTAAAGCATGGAAATGTCCACGTATCTGCAGGATGACTATGTAAAGAAGTCACAAGAACAGGCAGTGCATATGCATCTGTTCCTCAGAAGTTCAAATTAATTGGAACAAAGTAAAATAAAATAGCTCTACAAACCCCGTATTCTAGCTATTACTTTCAGCTGTGCAAAAACCTTAAAATTATTGTGTGGTACGTACAGATATACTAAAACAAATGAAGTTTCCCAGCTTTGTACCTGGGCAAATATTATAGAACAAACATACTGGCAATCTCTCCAAGAGAGAACTAAATCTAAAATAAATTTAAAAAGAAACACTGGCTTGATTGGAATGTTCTCCTGGATATCTTAGCTGAAGTGCTTTTTCAATGCCACGTTAGCAATGCTTAAATCCCGTCTAGTTCGTTCCCACCACGCTTGCAAACACAAGGGATTCTCTGACCTTGATACGGAAATCCCTGCTTTACAAGCCGCTGCTGCAAGCTATTTTTGCGTTCTGTGTTTTGCATGATTCAGAACAGACAGTGACTATATCAGCAGGTGTCAGACTACGGAGACTTTGAAATCTGAAAAGGTAAACTGAGAAACTCTCAGCATCTTCTGGAGAAGGCAGCACTCATTCTAACACAAACTGTCCAGAACACGCATGCTAGTTTGAAGTAAGATACGTTACGTCCATATATACGGGACCAGAAGTCTATGAATGCTGCACCTTCTAGCCAACAGGATGCTAGTCTTAGAAATTCAGGTTAATTGGATTATTTGATAGGAAATTTATAATACTCCGTCACATCCAATAGTTACACTCTCTACTGATAAATAGAACCAAGCATTAGTGCATGATACCAGCACTGGATATATAAAATATATATATAAATATATATATATAACTACTGCATACCAGCTCGCTTGTTTCTATGTCAAAGGGTTTGCTTACTCCCACTTACCTCACTGCGAACTTTGTACATATTTAGTGCTTCTGAGAACTCCTCAGTCTGCAAAAGCTAAACTTTTCTAACAAGATTCTTCCTCTTTCTCTGCTTTTTTTAACTCCCAAAGCAAAAACCAAGGAACAGTCATTCTCAGATCACCTAGTGTTATAAAGGAGTGCATCACTGCACATTTGGGAACATTATTTAAGTACATTAAGCTTCAATTTAAGTACAATTAAGCTCATTTTTCCCCCCTCAGCAGCTGGCGATGGGATCGTCTGTCTGTTCCAGATGACACTTTCCAAAACTAACCATAAAAGCATCCTGTTACCTGCTCCAAGCTACACATCTGCTCACCTATTTTATTAACAAGTCTGTAAATACAAAAGGGGTGTTTGAAATCTCAACTTTGTCCCACTCGGCTACAGTTATGCTGCCACTTTCACACTCTGCTTCAGGTGCAACCATCCAAACGTGAAAGCAATTTCAGTCTTTGGAACACGGGAAAGGTGAACTCAAATCCCTCCAGCCTAAGCCAAAACTAACCAGTGTCTTCTACTACCTTGGTAAAGGTCTCCATCTCTAAACAGAAAAGGTGTTATCATCTTTGAATTGGCACTTGTCATCTTCAGAATTTTCTATTTGTTTCATGCACAACTTGCTGTGAGATGTGTAACTAACCGAAGGCCACAGGGCACAGCGCAGAGATCAGGTGCTGGGGCGTTCGGTGTACGAGTGCCACGCTTGTCTCCTCCTGTACGTCTAGGCCACTGCTGCCTTGGCTCCATCACAAAATAACGGATAACGTAGAGTTCAGAAACCTCTGAATACCTGCCCTTTGCCTAACTGAGGGGAAATGCTAATTTGAGATGGGGGAAGAAATAGGCCAAATCATGGAAAATGTAACATGAACTAAAGTAACTAATACATTATAGAATGCAATGAAGAATCTATCTAGAGTCAATTATACGGATCATCTACATGTAAAAAATTCTGAAAACTAAAAAAACTCAAATAAACCCAAACTACCAAATCCAGAGAAGACAAGATGTCCAATGTAACCAAGAGAAACAACACAGAAACTGGAAAATAATTAGGAGAAATGGACAGACATAGGAAGAATAATTTTCCAATCCTAAATTATTTTGGAAGTTTGCTGAGAACAGGAAACACCCTTTCCTTTTCCTCGGCTTTTGACTTCAGATTTTCTTTTTTTATTCCCATGAGAAATGAAGTTAAACATGACAGGAAAAATAAGGAAAATAATTTATCAATATATTGGTCAAACATTTGTTGAAGAATAGTACACTCTGTGCTCTAATTTATTTTTTTATACATTCTTCTATTTCAATTTATCTCAAGATATTCAGACAAATAGTAACAGAATTGCAAATTAAGGTAGTCAAGATTGTTAACCAAGCTTATTAGTGCACTGAATACAGGGTCGCTCACCCTTCTCAGAATTCTGAATGGGGACAGTAGTAAAGACATTAAGTTTTATTCTTTTTTAAAACGTCGTAGATGTAATCATCTAAAGATGCAACATGCAGAGGTTTGAAGGTGAGGTAGCAGACTAATGGTTTGAAAGTGCAAGTTTGCATATGCAAGTTTTTGAACACCCAAACTTTTTTCCAGGTTCAAGACACAGACAGTGAATCCACTCTTCCACAATAAAGAATTCCAGCATAAGACTAGAGCTGCTTTTGTGGTCCATCAAGCAAGCAAAATCAGATACAAAAAGCCTGGCCAAAATTCCCCCAAAGGGGAGCTCTGGAACTTCTCTTATATAATTTCTGCTCATGTAATTTCTGTACAGACATCTGGCAAATTAAGTCTACTTTCTGTAACACACTCCCACCTTTCTTTGGATTATTATTTCTAGCCTCTTGTTCCTCATTTCTAAACCATCTGATTTTCTTCAGTCTTAGAAAAACATGTTTTCTTTCTCAGATTAACAACAGTATGCAAATCTGCCCTCAGAGTCATCTGCACCAAATAGAATTCTTTGGGGGCAACGTTCAAGAAATAATGAGCTGCACTGATAGCAGGGAGAAATTTTCCATCTGTTCGCTTCCGAGCACTTTCAGAGTACCACCACCGCAGGCTGAGACGTGCAATAGTGAAGCCGCTTTCCACAATCGGGCAGTGAACCTGACCCATACTCTATCAATCTCAGGACTGATTCACTTTAATGCTGCTGGCACCGCCAGGTTCACTTTCGGGTAATTCTCAAGCAATGTTGTCCACCTGTATTAGCAGGAATACCTGTGCCAGCAAAGAATTTATCTGGCGATCTGGGTGTTTTTTCAGTTGATCTAACAGAGCTCCATAATGTGTATGGGCAACAGGGAGCCGTAATTTTAATTAAATGTGTGACTGAAGGTATATTGGCCGCTATCTACACCTAGCACAGCATATCAGTCTGTTAGTACAATGGGCATTCAGGCAAAGCATATTTATTATTTATCTGCTGTTTTAGACCAGTAAATCTCTGATTCATTCTTCCACCTTTTTCTTGACACAGTGGAGGAGAAAAGCATCAGAAGAAGTATTTTGTGCAAAGCTCTTACTCTCCTCTATTCTTTTTAAGATTTCCTGTTTCACCTGAAAAATGCCTATAAAAAGCACTGATCAATGTTGGTTTTTCTCTCTTATCCTCTTCATCCTCTCTAGCTTCTAAGTTTTCCAGATTTTCTGAAACAGCATCCACCTGACCCGCTTTCCTTCCTTTACACACATATGAAAACTTATTTAAAGTTATTTGAAAAATCCCTTTTAGAGTATTGCTGTGTAGTTCAGCTTGCAAACTCAGTGTTTTAACTTCACCTTGTTCTTCCCAAGACTTTAAATACAAGAACTTTAAATTTTACCTATTTGTGCATGGAGGCTGCGAAGCGCTTCCTCACTCAACAGTAAACTTGTTCATAATGCAGAATCATAATACACTGGTTTGCATCAGAGTAAAATACTACCTGAAGCTTTGCTGCTACAGATCTCTTGCAGTTCCTTGATTTTCTTTACTATTCGTCAACATTTTTCGATTGATTCATAGGCTTGTGATTATTATAACAAATAACACACTGCTTTGAAGTCCGACACAGTGTAAAATTCAAAATACTGGCATTATCATCGAACTGAAGTTTACAGTTTTCAGAAGACAACTTGATCAATTTAACCTGGAAAAAAGAGCTTTTGCTCAAGCATAAAAAGTTAAACAAAAGTATAATGCAAATATTTAGCAAAGTTATAAAATAAAAAGTTTACACTTCTATTCAAATGTGGTACTAGAAGAATTTCCTTGGATTTAGCCAACATGGAGGGATTTTTCAAAAAGCTATTTTTCAGATTCTAATTAATAAGCAGTGCCCTCTTTACAAAGTGGGAACAGCTGTTCTACTGGCTCTTTCTCTCCCCAATTAAAGTAAATAGCACAATTCTCAGAAATTCTAACTATTTCAACGCCACTGATTTCAGTCTACTGTTCTGCTCTGTAGATTAAACTTCTTGCAATTTTTCACCCCATACACAGAAACAAATATTCTAGAAGAGAGAGTTGGAACCATTCCCCAAACAGCAAGCAGATTTCAGACTCATGTAAGAGTAAATGAGATGGGATACACTGTAACATAATATATCACTATACTTTCTCTTTTTTTCCTTCTTATACCAGTAAAAATTTAAAGTTAATGAATAATAGGTATGACCTAGGTAAATTTCGAGGTTAACAGAGGTTAATCAGAATGAAATGTACATACAAGGTATCTGCTGTAACCATTAATTTCACCTTCACTTAACCATTGATAAGTCTCAACATGGCTACTATAACAGCAAGTGCTTAAAGACTGACAAAATCTCCAAGTATATTCATTTTTATAAATTTAAAATGATTATTTATTTCCTTGTGGACATGTGACTTGAGGACCACATTGTTCTCAGACACAGCTGTGACCATGAGCTATCTAAGGGCAGACAGAGCACTTCTCAGGGCTGTGGATACTCC